CAGGCTGGAGTGAGTGTAATGGCGCGATCTTGGCTCACCGCAACCTCCGTCTCCTGGGTTCAGGCAATTCTTCTGCCTCAGCCTCCTGAGTAGCTGGGACTACAGGCGTGTGCCACCATGCCCAGCTAATTTTCGTATTTTTAGTAGAGACGGGGTTTCACCATGTTGACCAGGATGGTCTCGATCTCTTGACCTCGTGATCCGCCCGCCTCGGCCTCCCAAAGTGCTGGGATTACAGGCGTGAGCCACCGCGCCTGGCCTAGGAAGGCATTTCTTTGTCAGCAAACACCTTCGGAAGATGTAGAGAAAACACTGCCGAAGATTGGAAGAAACTCGTGTTAGAGCAAATTACCCAGTGTGGGAGGTTTGTTTTGCAGTGGGCTGAAAGCACAGGTGTTCCCAATGTGGCTCAGCTGAAGGTATTTGCCAGGTGCCGTTCCAATAGGGAAATACACAAACCACTTCTTTCATTTGTTTGTGTGTGTGCCGCTAAAGGGAAGATATAGCAGATAGCAGACAAGATATTGCCAACAGCAAATGCCTCTTTTTTTTTTTTTTTTTTTTTTGAGACGGAGTTTCGTTTCGCTCTTGTTACCCAGGCTGGAGTGCAATGGCGCGATCTCTGCTCACCGAAACCTCCGGCTCCCGGGTTCAAGCAATTCTCCTGCCTCAGCCTCCTGAGTAGCTGGGATTACAAGCACACGCCACCATGCCCAGCTAATTTTTGTATTTTAGTAGAGACGGGGTTTCACCATGTTGACCAGGATGGTCTCAATCTCTTGACCTCGTGATCCACCCGCCTCGGCCTCCCAAAGTGCTGGCATTACGGGCTTGAACCACCGCACCTGGCCACAAATGCCTCTTTTAATGAAAACAATGCCGCGAGGAATCGGTGGAAATGCAACCACAGATGGAACAGCTACTCCGACAGGGTAGTTATAAAAGGGATTCTGGATACAAATCATCCTTACCGCTCGCTCATTGGCTGATCCCCAGTCTAAATTGGCACAAGAAAGAAGCAGCAGCCTAGAGCCACATGGAATATGGCAGAAGGCAGTGGGGTTGGTTTGTAAAGCTTAGATTGTCACATAAGAGTAGAAATGTTGTGGCCCGGCATGGTGGCTCACGCCTGTAATCCAAGCACTTTGGAGGCCAAGGCGGGCGGATCACCTGAGGTTGGGAGTTCAAGACCAGCCTGATCAACATGGTGAAACCCCGTCTTTAAAAAAAAAAAAAAAAAGGGAGCAGAAATGTTGAGAGATTTGGTAAGAGGATTGAGTATGACCATGGAAACTTTCCAGCCACGTGAATGAGTCACAAAGTACTGACCACATTGTCCTGACTTCTTCCTCTCTTTCTTCCTAACTCTCGCTCCCTCCGTCCCGAAGTCCAATTTGCTGACAGTGTTGGAGCTGAAAAGAGCTGTCCTTTCTAGACACATTGGGCAGATTGAAAGTAGAAAATGTATTTTCCCTGTGTAAAGATGGAAAGGTAAAGATGTCCTTTCAATGAAAAAATGAGAAGGTAATTATCTTTCAGTGAAGACTCATGCTAAGGAAAGGGTATATTTTTGAGCAGAAGTTTGAAAATATTTTCTCTGACACTTGATTTTGTGGTCAACAATATACTGGACTGATAAACTGTCATTCCTACACAGGAAAAGGAAGCTTGAGAACAGAATGATCTCATTTCAGAATAATTTTTTTTTTTTTTTTTTTTTTTTTTTTTTGAGGTGGAGTTTCACTCTCACCACCTAGGCTGGAGTACAATGGGGCAGTCTCGGCTCACTGCAACCTCTGCCTCCTGGGTTCAAGTGATTCTCTTCTCTCAGCCTCTTATGTAGCTGAGATTACAGGTGCATGCCACCACATCTGGCTACTAATTTTTGGTAGAGACAGGGTTTCACCATGTTGGCCAGGCTAGTCTCAAACTCCTGACCTCAGGTGATCCACCAGCCTCAGCCTCCCAAAGTGGTGGGATTATAGGCATGAGCCACCGCACCCGGCCAGAATAATCTATTTTTAAAACGTTTCCACTTTTAGAATATAGAAGTCCTTGGGTATGAGTGCTCATAAAAACATAAACATGCAGCTCCTCTCCATTTGTTAGAAAGAGGAACTTCCTAACCACCTGACAACTGGGAAGATAGAAATATACCAGCTGGATTTACCAGAACCTTTGCAAATTTGGTGGATGGAATGTAACACTGAGTATGATGATTTAGTAAGGCCAGGTAAAGGTGTCTACCTTCCGATCACCTCCCATATTTTTGTGACAGCCACTAAAACCTAGAATTGAAAAAAAAAAAAATGTCCTGAGAGAGCCAGGTCCTCAAACGTGTGTGTGTGTGTGTATGTATATGTATATATATATATGTGCACACATTTTTTTCCAGACAGGGTCTTGCTGTGTTGCCCAGGCTGGAGTGCGGTGGCACAATCTTGTTTCACTACAGCCTCCCCCTCCCTGGGCTCAGTTGTTGTTTTTGTAGCGATGGGGTCTCACTATGTTGCCCAGGCTGTTCTCGAACTCCTGGACTCAAGTCATCTTACCCCGTCTTCCTGACAAAGTGCTGGAATTGCAGGCGCTGAGCCACCGTGCCTTGCAAATAGATATTTCACAATGTTAAATCAATTTTTATATGCAAGGAAGCTTTCAATCATGCTAATATTTCTAATGAGCACAGAATATTTCCTTTTTTTTTTTTTTTTTTTTTTTTGCTGAGACAGAGTCTGGCTCTGTCCCGCAGGCTGGAGTGCAGTGGTATGATCTCAGCTCACTGCAACCTCTGCTTCCCAGGTTCAGTTGATTCTCCTGCCTCAGACTTCCAAGTAGCTGGGATTACAGGTGCCTGCCACCATACCTGACTAATTTTTGTAGTTTTAGTAGAGAACATGTTTTAGTTTAAACCAGTTTTACTTTCACCATGTTGGCCAGGCTGGTCTCAAATTCCTGACCTCAGGTGATGCTCCCACCACAACCTCCAGAATAGCTGAAAGCACCGGCACGGCCACCAGGCTCCACTAATTTTTGTATTTTTTTTAATAGTGTTAAATATGCTGGAAAATATGGTTGATTTCACCTTTAATTCTTTTCGGCCGGGTGCAGTGGCTCATACCTGTAATCCCAGCACTGAGGTCAGGAGTTGGAGACCTGCCTGGCCAAAATGGTGAAACTCCATCTCTCCTAAAAATACAAAAACTAGCCAGGTGTGGTGACACACACCTGTAATTCCAGCTACTTGGGAGGCTGAGGCAGGAGAATGGTTTGAACCTGGGAGGCGGAGGTTGCAGTGAGCGGAGACCATGCTATTGCCCTTCAGCATGGGCAAAAGAGTTAGAGTCTGCCTCAAATAAAAAAAAAAATTCTTGGCCGGGCGCGGTGGCTCAAGCCTGTAATCCCAGCACTTTGGGAGGCTGAGGTGGGTGGATCACAAGGTCAAGAGATCGAGACCATCCTGGTCAACATGGTGAAACCCCGTCTCTACTAAAAATACTGAAAATTAGCTGGGGCATGGTGGCGCGTGCCTGTAATCCCAGCTACTCAGGAGGCTGAGGCAGGAGAATTGCCTGAACCCAGGAGGCAGAGGTTGCAGTGAGCCGAGATCGCGCCATTGCACTCCAGCCTGGGCAACAAGAGCGAAACTCTGTCTCAAAAAAAACAAAAACAAAAACAAAAACAAAAAAAAATTCTTTTCAGTGTTCTCTTGGGGCAGCTTTGGTACTCACTAAGTATGGCTGTGCTGAGATGGGGGCTCCAGAATGCTTTCGGAGGGAGGTCAGAAACACCCAGAGCCTGCTCCTTCCCCAGCTGTCACTGAGGCCTGCCGCCACCCCCGTTCTCCACCCAAGACCAGACCCTTCTCCTGGCAGCAGCCAGAGCGCTCCTTTCCCAGCCAGGCCAGGTCACAGCCCCCTCAAAGACCTCCAACCACACCCCTGCACCTAGACTTCACAACCCCCCCCCATATCTCCACCTTCTTTGACCCCTCTACCCACCCACTGTTTGATCCATGCGTCGGCCTCCCAGAGCACCTGCCGGCACTGCCTCAGGGCCTTTGCACTGCTGTGTCGCCTCGCTCAAGCCCCCACTCTGTGCAGGTCTCTTGCTCAACCATCTGCCCCTCAGCAGCCAGCCCCTCCTGGCCTGTGTTATCCACCCCTCCAGACACCGTGCCCACAGGCACTCATGATTTTTCTCTTAGGAAGTAGTACTGGCATTACACTGTCTAACACTTCCTTTTATTATTGCTTTGCCTCCCAGCAGAACGGAGCCCCCGGGGAGGCAGGGGAGTCTTTCTTGTTGAGAAATCTGTGCCCAGTGTCCAGAGACCTTCGGAGGGACTTTGGGCTCTGGGCTGCTGCCCTGCACCCAGATCTTCCCAGGAGCTTCTTGGATCTCAGTTGGGTGCTGAAATGGGCATCTGGGTGTGGAACATCTGAGTAGTTGTGATCTGGGGCCCCTTGGAGGGGGGCAGGGGTGTGGAATTAGCCCAGTGGGGGCAGCCGAGGACTGTGTCAAAATCCCCCTGGGGATCTCCACCCCAGCGGCCTCCTTGACCAGCAGGGTGGCAGGAAGCCACGATTCTCCAGGCATCCGGATGCTCAAAGTCCTCAAGTCCCACAGGTGATTCAAGGACTGAAGCAGAGATCAGCGAGGTGCGGGGTCTGGGTGCTGCTTTTCCCCAGGAAGAGAGCAGAGCCTGCCTTGTACTCACTGAACTGTAGGTGGGGGCTGGATGGCCTGAGCCCCCTCCTTTCCTGGGGTGCAGGCAGCCGCAGGACACAATCCGCAGTCCCAGGGGTTGGGGCACGGAGTCCGGGAGCAGCCAAGAGGCAGGTTTGGTGTCAGGCTCAGTCCCCAGGGTGCACGGGGAGGTGAAGGTTCCATGGTAAGACATCTGTGTGCGGACTCCAGGGGAGAAAGCTCAGAATGGAGGCCGGGCAGGACCACTGGAGGTGGGGAGCAGAACTCTGGGATGGGGAGGCAGGAGCCCCAGGGACAGGGCAGTCAGGGAGCAGCGGCCACCCCCAGCAGTAGCAGGATCCCAGCCAGCAGAGGTAACCACTCAGGGACCATGGGACCCTTGTGCGAGGCATTGGTGGTGCTGGTGGGGGGGCATCATGGGGCAGCCCGTGTAGGGCTCCAGGTAGGCTTCGAAGGCCATGACGTGCGCTGTGAAGCTCTGCTCCTGCACACCATGCACCAGGTGCGCCTGTGGGCCATAAGCAAAGACAGCCAGGTCCTCGCCTGCAGAGATCTCTTCGTCCAGGGGCACTGCTGACTGCTGCCGGTACTCAGGGCTCTCTGAAGGAGGGTTCAATGGCAGGCAGATAGGAGGTGCCATCCAGTCCTCCATCCTTGGCACCCTGGTCCCCCTGAGAGGGCCACCCCTTGGCACACACCAGTCTGGCTCTTGGTAACATCTGTCCAGGCACCGTCTTTGAGCATATAGCCGGGACCGTTTCCATGTAGGAGATCTGTGTAGGCCTTCCCGTCCCGGGCCTCGCCGGGGGCCAGCTCTACAGAGAGAGGGGTCCCGTGGTTGAGCAGAACACAGCTGTGGGAGTGCCTCCCTTGTGCTAGGTGCCACCACCTTTTGCTGGTCTGGAGGTTAGTCCTTGAGACCCTGCAGGGCAGGTGCCAGCATTGCCTCTATTTGATAGAGGAGGAAACTGAGGCTCAGATTTCACCTACATAATTTATGGGGCAGTACCTGCCTCTCTCCCCAGGCCTACCGTAGATGGAGCTCCCTCGCAGGGGATAGCCACCAAAGGAGAAGATGTGGGAGTGGTAAGCGGTGACGAGGGTCAGCGTGTCGTCCTCGCTGGTGAGTTGGCCCGCCCTCTCAATGGTGTTGTCGAACATGATCGTCTCAGTCAGTGCCCGGTAAGCCCTGCTTTCATGATGACCATGGTTGATGCAGCCGCCTGCAGGAAGGCCAGAGGGGGGTGATTCTTGAACCTGCCCTGCTCCAACCCCCGACTCCCACTCCCCAGGTGCCATCACACACCCTCGACAAAGAGGAAGAATCCTCAGGGGTTCCTGCTCAGCAGGCCTAGGGTGGCCTCCGTCATCTCCATCAGGGAGGGGTCTCGTGTGGAGTCTCGGTGGATCTCATATTTCATGTCTCCGGGCTCAAAGAGACCTGTGGGACAAGGGGTCCCGTGGTGACTGTCAGGCTGGGGGTGGGAGGGTGCTGGCAGACCTGCACACAGGCTCGGAAGATGCCATCTGAGGCCATACGAGGGTTGCCAGGGCAAGAAGGGGGTCATTACCCATGAGGTGGGTCACAGACGGGTCCAGGGAAGCCTGCATGAGCTCATTGCAATTCCACACCTACCGGGCGCCCTGCAGGGACACAGCCAGGCCTCAGGCCTCAGCCCACAGCTCCAAGCGCCATACCCCTGCACTCCCCCTGCTGTGCCCCCTGCACCCACCAGTCACCATCATCTGGTGCTTCCCCAGCCATTCCTGCACAAGGTTCTTCTCATCCATCCTGATCCTGTCCTGCCTATAGCCATGTGGCTGCTCATGGTCTGGGGTCCCCATGGGAAACATGTAATTTTGGCTACCTCCTAGATCACCTGGGCACAGAGAATGGGACAGGTGGGTTTGGGGCCTGGCTGGCCCTGTGCCCCCTCCTCATGCACAGCCCCTGGCTCTCCTCCCTAGGGCTTTGGGGAGGGCCCAGCCTGGACTACACCTTCTGCCCCCCTAATCCCACCTCCAGACCCTGCTGGCCCCATCAGGCTGTTGGTTGCCTGGGTCTCACCTGGTGTCCCCTGCTACTGTCTTCCCAGCCCCAGCCCTTGGCCTTGGGGTCTCACGTCAATGTCCATGTTGGAGATGAGCTGCGTGGCGATGTCCTGGCAGCCCTCCCGGCGGGCGGAGAAAGGCATGTTGGAGTCTGAGTACCAGTTGCGGTTCACCGTGTGCGCGTAGGTACCGGCTGGGGAGGCGTGCTGCACCCGTGTGGTGGTCACCACTCCCACTGACTTCCCTGAGGGGGACAGAGGTCAGGGTATGCGACAGAGGTCTGTGACCCGGCCCTGACCCCGCAGCGGGCCCCAGCTCACCTGCCTTCTTGGCCCGGTTCATCACGGAGACGACCTCGTTGCCGCGGGTCGTGTTGCACTGGTTAAAGCGGGCCGCTGCGCTCAAGCCGATGGTCTGGAAGTTGCCCTTGACCCCGCACAGGTAGGCCGTGGCTGTGGCTGCGCTGTCTGGCACATGCTTGTCTACGCTGTATGTCTGGGGACAGAGACACTCTGGGCTCTTCTCTGGGGCGGACACCCAGACCCAGACCATGATCTCTGTCCTCTGGGATTGCAGCCGCCTCCAGCTCTTACTCCAGCCCCAGCAGCTTAGGGTCCCTCCCTCCTCCCGCCCTCCATAGCCAGGATTCCTCTTCTCTGCTTGGAGGACTCCGAGGTGGCCCAGCCCTCACCTTGGACAGAGCCACGTATGGGAAGCGGTCCATGGCCAGGGGCGTCTCTGGCCCCAGTTTGCCCTTCTTCTGCCCCTTTAGGATCCTGGCGGCTGTCACCGTAGACACCCCCATCCCTGAGGGAGCAGAAATGTGTGAGGCTTGGGCCCCAGGGCTGTCCCGGAAGCCCCGACGGTCCGGGTGCCAGGGCTGCGAGGGCTGCGGGCCGGACAGCCTTGCTCACTCACCGTCGCCCAGGAAGAGGATGAGGTTCTTGGCGGCTGTCCGTGCGGGCTGCAGCTTCTTGGCGGCATCCAGGGCCTTGGCTGCCTGACGGTTCCAGAAGGCCGGGTTCTCCTCCTCAACTGGCCAGGGGGAGAGCAAAGATCAGGTCAGCCTGGGCTGGGGGGCTCCCTGTGTGTAGGGGCAGCGGGGGGAGCCTCATTACCTGGGATGATGCCCAGGGAGAGCTGTAGCCTCAGGCCCAGCAGCAACAGCAGCACCCAGGGTCCCTGCATGTCTGGGGATAGCAGGAGAGCGGTGAGGCGGGAATACCGGGTATGGAGTAGGAGCTGCACTCCAGGCCGCCTGGGTTTAAATCCAGGAGAACTGTTAAATCTGCCAGGGAGAACTGTCCTGGCCCTTCTGTTTGTTGCCACCTTGACCTGGTTCAGCCTCTGGACCTGAAGCAGGCGGCTCAGGGTGGGACCAGGTGTCCCCCAGGGAAGGGTGGGTGTTGGGTGCAGATGCCATCTGGGTGAGTGTGGTGTTCCTCCTGCAGCCAGGAGCCCGTCCCCTACCCCTGCTCATTGTCTTTTGTGGAACAAGACACCCTGTCACTCGTTCATTCACCCATTGATTTCTGTATTTCCTGGGAGCTGGGGCCAGGCTCTGTTCTGGTGCCGAGAGGAGGGGAAGCTGGAGGCACACAGCCCGCGCCAGGGCCTGGGTTTAGCGTCCTGATGACAAAAGCCTGGGCCATGTGGGAAAGGGGCATGTGGGGGCCTTGCTGCCCTGGCACCCCCTTGCTCCGTCATCTGTCCCTAGCCTGAATAGGTGGGGCTGGCAGAAATCTGGGCCCAGAGCTCCAGGGCTGTGAGCCCCTGTGGGTCAATGGTGACAACACTGAGCGGGGCCAGGCCAGTCTTGCCCACTGCTCACATGTTGTGTGTGATTGTGTTTTTGTGGGTGCACTTGCACTGATGTTTGGATGATGCAGGTGGGGTAGAGTCCAGCGCCCTGGGCCAGCCAGGCCTGGGCTGCGTCTTCCAGAGCAGCTTGTGCACTTGACGTTGACCCCTGTTCCCTTGCACAGGTAGATGGAGCCTGGGGCGAGTCTGTTTTCCATGGGCCCTGGGCACACCCAGAACTGTAGCCTCTCACATGGGGCTCTGATGTTTTCATAGCCTCAGGCTGACTTAGAAAGTATTTCTCCAGTTCACATATCCCCCCCATCACTTTTTTTCTTTCTGGTTTTTATTACTAATTTATGTTTTTGAGACAGGGTCTGGCTGGAGTGCAGCGGTGCAGTCAGGACACACCTCCCGGGCTCAAGCGATCCTCCCACATCAGCTTCCCATGTATCTACGTTACACGCTGCTCATTTTTAATGTTTTTGAGAGGCAGGATCTCCCTGTGGTACCCATGCTGGTCTTGAAGTCCTGGGTTCAAGTGATCCTCCAGCACTGCTAGGATTGCAGACTTGAGCCACCAATCTGGGCCTACATTCAGGAGAAATGTGTCTGGAGAGGAAGCAGAGTGCTCGAGGGTGGGCAAAACAGAGCTGTGTCCTCGTGGAGGGCACAATCTAGCGGAAGAGGAATGTCTTGAGAGATGTACGAAGCACCGGCCATCAAATTGTGGGGAGTTTCTGGACTAGGACAAGGGCTAGGAAGGCCCTTTCTAGAAAGTGTGGTTGGAGCTGAGAATGAGGGATTACTAGGAGCTAGGCTGATGAAGGAGGTGAGGTGGCGACGGGAGGAGAAACGGTCTATCTCTGTCCAAGATCACCCTGTGTTAGGACAGTGGCTGACCCTTTTCTGGGATCACCCAAGGTGGGATAGTGGGTGGATGAGACACGTGGACTGTCAAGACTAGCGGATTTTGAATCCTGCCTCTGCGGTGTCCTGCTGTGTGGCCTTAGGCTATTGTCTCTCTGTTGCTTCTGATAGAACAGGAGAGTGGTGAGAGAGATTCAAGTTAAAGAAAGACAAAGTCCATCACGTTTTCAAGTGTTGGCTTTGGCTGCTGTATGGAGATTGGATTAGAATGGGGTGTAAGGAAGAGAGAAGAGATTTGGGTTTCTGGCGAGAATCAAGGTGGCTGGGGCCAGGGTTTGGTGCTGTGGGTGAGGAAGAATAGAAAGTGATGCTTTTTGGATTTTGTTTGGATGGAGTCTCGGCTTGTTGCCCAGACTAAAGTGCAACGGCGCGATCTCAGCTCACAGCAACCTCCACTTCTGGGTTCAAGCAATTCTCCTGCCTCTGCCTCCTGAGTAGCTGGGATTGCAGGCATGAGCCACTATGCCTGGCTAATGTTTGCATTTTTAGTGGAGATGGGGTTTCACCATCATGGTCAAGCTGGTCTCGAACTCCTGGCCTCAAGGTATCTGCCTGCCTTGGCTTCTCAAAGTGCTGGCATTATAAGTGTGATCAGAAATGATAATTTACTGGACTTGGTCTGTGATGGAATGGTCAAGTGTTACTTCCAGGTTTCTGGCTTTCGTTATTATAAGTAAAATAAGAAGAATGGCTGAACTTCATTAATATATTTTCCATTTGTTGTGGTCAGGCAAAGAATACTTTCCATCTATTCCATTTAAAGACTAATAACAAAAGCAAATCCTTCTTTATTCTGCAGGGATAACTTTTTTGAGAACAAATTTACTAAGACATTGAAAGCCTCTGAGTCTCCCACCTTTCTCCCCAAAGGTAACGACTATTCTGTATTTTGATTAATTTTGCCTTTGCTGTTGATTGTTTTACCACATAGGCATATTTTTCTAAATAATGTAGTGATTGGTTTCATGTGTTTTTCCACTTTATGTTTATTCTGTTTTGGGTTCATTGACATTTTCTTTTTTTATTGTTTAACTTTTTACTTTTTAGTTTACATTACAGAAGTTACCATTATAAACTTTTTCTAGCCAAGGGTTTATTACAGTCTTTCTTTTTTTTTTTCATTTTTGAAAAACACTTTTTCAGCCTTTTACTCTGTCACTCAGGCTGCAGAGCAGAGGCACAATCTTGACTCACTGCAACCTCCACCTTCCAGGTTCAAGGGATTCTCCTGCCTCAGCCTCCTGAGTAGCTGAGACTAGAAGCACACGCCACCACACCCAGCTAATTTTTTTGTATTTTTAGTAGAGATAGTTGTTTTATCATGTTGGCCAGGCTGGTCTTGAAGAACTGGCCTCAAGCCACCCACCCGTCTCAGCCTCCCAAAGCGCCGAGATTACAGGCGTGAGCCACTGTGCATGACTTGTTTGTTATGGTCTTAATAAAATTTGGAAAAATTTTCAAAACAAAAATAAAGGATGCTGGGCACAGTGGTTCACACTTATAATCCCAGCCTTTGAGAGGCCAAGATCAGAGGATTGCTTGAGCTCAGGAGTTCTAGGCCAGCCTGGGCAACACAAATAGATTCTGTCTCTTAAAAAAAAAAAAAAAAAAAAAAGAAAAAAAAAAAAAGGGCCGGGCGCGGTGGCTCAAGCCTGTAATCCCAGCACTTTGGGAGGCCAAGGCGGGTGGATCACGAGATCAAGAGATCGAGACCATCCCGGTCAACATGGTGAAACCCTGTCTCTACTAAAAACACAAAAAATTAGCTGGGCATGGTGGCGCGTGCCTGTAATTCCAGCTACTCAGGAGGCTGAGGCAGGAGAATTGCCTGAACCCAGGAGGCGGAGGTTGCGGTGAGCCGAGATCGCGCCATTGCACTCCAGCTTGGGTAACAAGAGCGAAACTCCGTCTCAAAAAAAAAAAAAAAAAAAAAAAAAACCAAAAAAAACAAAAACAAAAACAAAAAAAACCCAAAAAAATCCTAAAAGGTAGAAGAAATCCAAGCATCCATCAACAGACAATGGAAAAACCAAATGGGGTTGTACACCCACCTCAATATCATGCAGCCTTGAAAAGGAAGGAGACGCTGCAGAAGACCCTGCTGCAACCTAGAGGAATGTTAGGACGTTATGCTCGTGAAATATGAGAGTCACAAAAGGACCAATGCTGTCACCTGTAAAATAAGGTTCTTAAAAACAGTAACAAAAGGGGTAAATACAACATGAACACACTTTCTGAGGTCTCTAGAGGAGTCAAATTCATAGAGACAGAAGTGGATGGAGGTTACCTGGGGCTGGGGGAGGGGAAATGGGTTAGGGTTAGGGCTGGGGTTGGGGTTAGGGTTAGAGTTGGAGTTTGAGACAGAGCTTCAGGGCTGCAGGGTGAGAACGTTCTGGAGATCAGCTGCACACCG